TATCTCCGAAGAAGAAAAAAAATAAGGTGAATATATGAGATTAAAGTTAAAGGAGGGCAAATAGGTTTTTGCATAAAGTTTACTCTGTATATTACATAATTGCTTTCAATTTATCAATTTCCATTCAAAAAACATTGACTTCCTATCTATATTTAGAAACGTATGGAGAAGATCAGTGATAAAAAAAAAAAGAGATATGGTTGATCCACATTTATTTTTGTCTATTGCCGCCCTCGACAGGAAATCCTAATTCACCTCGGTTCAACACACTATAAATAACACCATTTATGTTACCAATTGACTACAATTTCGAACAACGAATATCAAACAATTATACCGTACTAACCTGTAAGATTTTGATGTTGATATATTTATTTAATTTTTTTAAAAAGGTTTTTCCCTTTTTCCCTTGGCAGATGTGTGAATCCTTCAAGACGCGTTCCAATGCATTACATTTACTCTTTTTTTTTTCTTTTAGAGAGTTGTAGATACGTATCCCAATATGTCCGGTGTCCTCTATTTTACAAAATTTGCAACAATATATATATATATATATATATATATATATAATATGTATATATATTCTACCTTCCTTTGATTAAGACAACTTTACGGAAATAATTTGTATGTAAGTATTTTGATGGAGAAGTTTTATATCTTATATTCACGTCGGTGAATGATATGAAACTATATATTATAACTTTGTAGCCTGGAAATTTTCACAATTTTTTGTAATGATCTAATTTTATTTTTTTATTAGAGTAAAATGTTGAAATGGTCCCTTACATTTGCCCTTACTTGAATTTACGTCCCTTATATTAACATTTCAATGTCGTAGTCCCAAACATTATGTGTTCACACTTTTTTGGTCCCATTTTACTGTTTCGACCACATTTCCGTCCAACTCGATGTTGACCGGCCGTTGACTTGCCGGGGTCAGGGGTATTTTCGTCCTTTCACGTAATTTGACCTTCCATCAAATTAAAATCATTAAAAATATTAAAAAGTCATATTTTAAATTACTTAGATAGTATTTATCAATTTAAAATATTATTATAATATTTTTAAATTTATATTTTTTAAAAAATAGTTTTTTCATTTACCATTTATCTTAGGTAAAAAGTAAACAGTATTTATTCTACATTTTAACCCCGGACCCACAGTAAATTTATAATTTTATTAGGCTACAGTGAAAATTTTAAATTTCAATTTAAAAAAAAATAAAAAAAATTGCAGCCCGGTAAAATTGTAAATTTACTGTATTACAGTGAAAAATTTAAAATTTAAATTTAAAAAAAATTAAATTATGAAAAATAAATATTAATTATTCTACATTTTAACCCCGGGTCCACAGTAAATTTATAATTTTATCGGGCTATAGTGAAAAATTTAAATTTTAAATTTAAAAAAAATGAAAAAAATTGTAGCTCGGTAAAAAAATAAATTTACAATTTTACCATGCTACAGTAAATTGGTTTTTATTTTTTTTTAAATTTGAAATTTAATTTTTTCAGTGTAGCGTAGTAAAATTGTAAATTTACTGTTTTCTAGTAAAAAATTAAATTTCAAATTAAAAACAAAAAATTTAAATTATGAAAAGTAAATAGTAATTATTCTGCATTTTAATCCCGGGCCCACAGAAAATTTACAATTTTACCGAGCTATAGTGAAAATTTTAAATTTCAAATTTATTAAAAAAAAGTTGTAGCCTGGTAAAAAAAATAAATTTACAATTTTATCGGGCTACAGTAATTTTTTTTTTTTAAATTTGACATTTAAAATTTTCACTATAGCACGATAAAATTATAAATTTACTGTGGGTCCAGGGTCAAAATGTAGAATAATTATTGTTTACTTTCATAATTTAAATTTTTTAAATTTTTTTTTAAATTTGAAATTTAAATTTTCCACTGTAGCCCGGTAAAATTTTAAATTTATAGTGGGTTCGGGGTTAAAATGTAGAATAATTACTGTTTACTTTTTATCTAAGATAAATGGTAAACGAAAAAACTTTTTTTTGAAAAATATAAATTTTAAAATATTATAATAATATTTTAAATTAATAAATACTATTTAAATAATTTAAAATATGACCTTTTTAATATTTTTAATGATTTTAATTTGATGGAAGGTCAAATTACGTGAAAGGACGAAAACACCCCTGACCCCGGCAAGTCAACGGCCGGTCAACATCAAGTTGGACGGAATTGTGGCTGAAATAGTAAAATGGGACCAAAAAAGTGTGAACACATAATGTTTGGGACTACGATATTGAAATGTTAATGTAAGGGACGTAAATTCAAGTAAGGGCAAATCTAAGGGACCATTTCAACATTTTACTCTTTTTATTATCACTATTTATTTATTTTTATATACAAAATTGTCACTTGGTTATAACCTGTTGAAGTACCTGATTTCAAAAAGGAAATGAAAGTTGAAGTACCTCCTAATATATGTAAATATAATATGTGATTTTCATTTTATTTATTTTATTTTATTTTTCGGTATCAATTTATGAGTACTTGGTTATAGAACTAATATTGACACGTGAATTTTTTTATTTAACTTTATTTTGCGACATACAGGGAACTATTGTGGACTCATATAGAAAGCAAACTATTTCATGTGAAAAGAATGGATTATATGCATTATTTACTTTGTGAATATATGTAGTGCAATATTGAATTTTGTTTTTTTTGTTTAATGGGATTATCTCTCAAATTTCATAAATCCTTATAATCTTAAGCCTTTTTATATCAATATTTTTGTTTAATTCTCATCTTTTCTCTTTCCTTCCTATCCATCTTTGTCTTTTTCGACATCAAAATCTGCTATCTGCGATCAATTGAAGCCATTGGGTGACTTTTATTTTTCATTTACTCCTTTTCTGTTTTTTTTTTTTGTCTCCTTTATAATTTTGTACTAATAGTTTATTAGAATTTAGAGTCAATAATATTTACTAATTTCCGTTTTCTTTATTTTGTTTTAGAATTGCAAGGATTGGGGACAAGAAAGAAAAATTATAGGTATTATATATTTTTTTATTAATAGTTACTTTTTCCTAGATTTTTATTTTCTGTGTGATTTTTCTTAGTTTTTTCTATAATGAATTGAGTTTTAGATTTAATAGAATGTAAATTCATAATAGGAATAAAATGTGTCACAATTAGATTATTTAATCAAATTTTTTAAAGGTATCACAATCACTCTCTTGAAAAAAATCAGTGGCACTTCATTTCTAGCAGTTGATGTATTTAAAAAAAAGCATAGGAATTTTGTAATTTACATTAAGAAAAAAGCAAAAACCAAGATTATGCGTTTCCGCGTTTGTTATGTGTTTTGTTCAAATTTCCGACTTATTATGTTTTTTGGTTTTGTTTTCACGATCAATTTTTATCACTTAATTAATTTGTTTATTGAAACAAGGATATTTACTTATTTACCTATTAATAGTGAAATTCAAATTTCAGATCTTATATTCGAATTAATCAACTTTTAATAGCATGATACACATAATTTTCGATAAGTCAAATTGATATATCATATAACAGGAAATTATTTGTGATATATGATTATATGTGAATAATTAATGTAAATTTTAAATTTTATAACAAGAACAACAATCTTTTTTTCGTAATAGGTGGGGTCAACTATATAAATCATATGTCACTTTTGTGCACGATCGATGCATAAATCATCTGCCCTCTCAAAATATGAATCTTATAGCTTATTCCCCAATCTTACCCTAATAACTAGCAATAATACATCATGACCAAACAAATCGAATATTCTGGTTGCTAAAATAATTTCCCTAGCTTGCTGCCATAATCGAATGATGTCCATGCAAACTTTGCTAATAGATGAAAAAGGATATTTGATTCATTGCTGATATGTTCATTATTATGTTACATATATTGATTGCTATTGTTTTAGGACAACACAATTCCAATTTTTTTTTTTTCCTTTTCCATTAATTTGCATGCATGCTAAATTCTTTTGTTTTGGCTTTTTCTTTCTTTTTGGATTTAGAACAAGACTAGGGGTTGGGACCGCACAAGGTGCGGTCTGACCCGTGGAACGTGAAGGTTTTAGGTATTGGTATTTTTGTTGAATTGGTATGTTCTTTAGCCTGGAGAGAAGCCTTTAAATAGGTAGTTCATTGAACGGTATAATCAATAATAAAGTTGAATAATTAATAGATTTAATAGATTTTCATTAAGTAGGCGATTGATGTACTTGTTACAATTTATATAAAAGTAAAAGTAATTTAATATCAAGAACATAGAATTGAATACAACATTCTGCAAATATCAACAAGACAATCACTTGACAGAAGTTATTTTCCTAAAGTAGTGTGACCTTCGATTTCAAGTCACTTTCTAAATTATCAGGTTCCTTAAAGGGATACGATCCTTCCAACATCACATATAATGTTACGCTACATGACCAAACATCTGCTGAATCTGAAAATGGAGATATAGTTTAAGAACAAAGAAAATTACTTAGAATCAGTTCCCTTATTTATGGTACATACTTTCCCATTGTGTTCCTTTTTTGACAGGAACTTAGATGCTAATATGCGGGTGTTCCCACCATTGATTTGGGCTGTGAGTGCAGCAATCTAGACTGCAGGAAATTGCACCATGTAACCTTTGAAGAATACTCTCTCACCCAAGAAAATATTCTTCAGTTTCAAATTCCTACGGTAAATTTTCTGAAGAGAAATAAACTGCTATGAGGAAATATATATGGATTAAAGAAGCAGTTAATCATATGGTGAACATGACACATTACAATCTATATTTGACCGCAAAAACCAGATCTTTGCTGTGGAATCCCATTTCATAAACTGATAATGTAAACTAATTAATGCACATTAGATGGATGAAAATACCTTCTTTTCTCTCTTAATGTATTTGAGAGCAAGAAGCTCTTTGGTCTTCTTACTTCTGAGAAGCCTTGCCACTCGGAAATTTTCAGCACCAAGATCCTTTAATGTCTCATACTTTTCGCACAAAACTGAAATGAGGTTGGCTGAATTTGGTGAAACCAATAAGCCTATTAATGCATTGCTTTCTTATCCTGTTAACATGTCAAGATTGTGAGGTGAAAAAAAAGTGCTTTTTGGAGTGAGCTCCGCAATTAGAAATTCAAATGCATTGCAGGAATGCAATTTATTTTCATGGAGGTTGGAGCTTTGGACTATACCCCATTGGATGCATTCATAGCCAATGAATCCAAATACATACATGAAGAAGACTACAAAAGAGTATCCGGTTCCTAAACAAAAAAACGATTGCACATTCAGAGTGCTTGCCCTCAAATACAAATAGACAATATCCCAAAAACAGAGTAACTGCTAATTAAAGAACTAACAAAGAATAATGTTTTCATACCTTAATACCTATTGATAGGAACAACAGAGTTGTAATGTTCACCAAGACCGAATGCATGCCGATGGTAAGAAAGGTTGATGCTTCCCATCTCTACATCAGGGAAGGATCCTGAATAGATCATGATATGTTTCTTCAAGCAGTGAGTTAGTGCTCCAGGTTCTAACTGTCCACCCCATGTTGCGGTTGACTTCACATCTTTACAATAACTTTGAAACCTCTCTGCAATCTTATTATCAGATTCTTCCTCTTCAGCATTCTTGGAAAGGAAAAAATGGGAGAAAATCAGAAGCATGATTTCTCATATAGGTTGCCACCATTTGTCAAGCCAAGAGGCTCGAGCTTGTTTTCTAATTTCTCATTTTCTGAAGCTCTCTCGCTTACTATGTTACTCTGCTCTTCTTGAATTCTTTGTTCCCTAGCAACTTCTTGTTCAGCTCTTTTATCATGCCTCTGAACACTCTTGCTGGGCTTTGACCCTTTCAACTTTATTTGTGACTGAAGTTCCAGCTATTGAGTTCATCAAACTGTTAAGTTGACCTTTTTCTTTACCATCATTGTTGGCACAACCGAGGCAAGTTCCTCTGCATGCTTTTGTTTCAGCAGAAAGATTGGATATTCCATCCTCCACTTGTTTCTTCTTTGCTTTCTGCTCAGCCTTACTGCCTTTTGCAGCTGCCTTTTTCATTGGCATTTCCTTGTTATGCAGTTCGGAAATCTCTTTCTTCCAACAATAGTTGACAAATAATGAGCCAAAGTAGATCCAAGCAGTTAACCTGGCAGTTTTAGGATTTTAGAAAACAATGGAGGGAGATAAACTAAACAGTAGATTACAGCAACATGAAACAAGGTCAAAGATCCAGGACGACAGGAAATGATAATGGATATATATCAAGATGGTTAAAAATTTAAACCCAGAATGAAAGCAATAAATACAATAAGCTTAACAACACACTTAAATAGAACCAAACAGCAGATTTTAGAAAGATACAACACCTATGCCTAGAAAGCATCTCTTCACGGGTTTCCTGCGACACATTTTCTGAGATGTCTGGAGATGGCTTGTTCTCCGTCTCAGATGTGCCCATTTGGAATTCTATATGAAAATAAAAACAGTGTCAACTTTAAAACAAATGTCGCATTTGATGAAGATAAAACAAAAATAAGATAACCATATAGAAACTGTATATCCCAAGAACTGATGAGAGGAATACAGACTTATTATAAAAATCATAAAATTTCCTATCCATCTGTAGAAGAAATTTTACTTCCAACACAGATGGGAGCCTTTAAACATTAGAACAAACAGAAACAAAGAGCAACAATTTATATAGATACCTTAGTTGCTATGTTGCTATGTTGAATTCTGTTGCTAGTATGCCTCATTGTTCTCTTGATCTGTCAATGTTGTTCTTTGCTAACCTAAAAGTACAAGGAAGAAAAAATAGTCAACGAATAAGAGACAGTAAAACAATGATCAACTTTCAAACAACCAATTGAAAGAAATTTAAACAAAGCTCGATGAAAAACAAAAGCAGGAATATCAAGCAAGGAAAGCATCGTATTAAATGTGGTACAACTAACAACCTTGATATAAGACATATATTTAGCACCATCACGAAGCTGAATATTGCGCTTCTGCACTTTCTCTCCTTTCTTGGACATCACTGCCACCTATAAACTATCAAATAAGTTTTTAACATTGCTGTCTGAGAAGACCTTCCTGGCCCAAGAAGAGGAGTTTGGTGTGGCAACGCCATTATCCACAGGATCATGAGTTACAGTACCATGCAAGTGCATTCTCACTTCAATATGTTTTCTAGACCTGCAATACATTTTTCCAATATTCAATCGGATATAAAAGAGAAGCAGGCTTTGCAGAAAAGACTAAATTGAAATGCAAATGAGATGATGACAGAATCCAACAAGCAGCAACACAAAAGTAAAAATAATTTATGAAGGGTAAGATTTTGTACCTATGAGAAGAATACTTCTCAGCCACGATTTAACAATGATGATTACTGAATATAATACGATAGTGGAAGCACTATTTTTTATTTTTGTGGTGTACTGTGTTGATACAGAGTTTGAACAAATGATAAAAGTATGTTTCAATCAATGCTTCTTGCTGCTAAAACTTCACGGTAGATAACATTTTTAGTCCATTTAGTGTTTTGTACCAAGGGTGTTGTTGGCCTGATTAAGACCTTTATCTGTTCAATAGTTTTTGCTCTTGATAATGCAACATAAAGCTGACTATGGGAAAATACTGGTTCTTTTAAATATACACCAACAAAATCTAAAGTCTGTCCTTGTGCCTTATTAATTGTCATTGCAAAATATAAACGCACAGGGAAATGTTTTCTTTTGAATGGAATTGAAGAAAAACTTTCTCGTGGAGCTTCTATTGTTATTCGAGAATAAAGGCATACTATCCCGTATATGGACCAACTGAAATTCTAGCATAAATAAGATTTGGAGTAAAATTTAGACAAAGAAGACGTGTACCATTACATAATCCTTCGGTAGGATTAATGTTTCTAAGTAAAATGATATCGAATTGTCAGGTTCAATCTGCAGGCGGTTCTACCGGAATCATCCCTACCGTCGCTCATCCTGAGGAGGCCTTGGATGGTATCCTACCGGCACCTCTTGTGGCCGGTTCTGATGGAAACATTCCTCTGGTTGGAGACCAAGATGGTCTTTCTGCTGCTGTTGCTGAAGAAGTACCGGCTCCACCTGAACCGGATTTTCAGGTTCTATTTCCAGGCGGTTCTACCGGAATAGTCCCTGCCGTGTCTCATCCTGAAGAGGCTCTTCCGGCACCTCCGGCCGCCGGTTCTGATGGAAACATTCCCCTGCTTGGAGACCAAGATGGTCTTTCTGCTGTTGTTGCTGAAGAAGTACTGGCTCCATCTGAACAGTATTGTCAGGCTACAGCTCCTGCTCTGGACATGAAAAGTTGGGCTCTGGACTTTCTATCGAGGCAACCACAAATGGAGGTCAGGGACATGAAGGACATTGACTTCCTCGGGGTTCTTCGGTTTGCGGATGGTGGCGCCTGTAATCCGATCTGCATGGTCAAGGACGGCCAGTCAAACCCTGAATACACGAAACTCGTGAACGCAATGCGAAGTCACAACATACAAGTTTCGCCTTCACCTCCAAGCTCTCCCCCACAGGTAATTTAATATATTTTTTAAACTATATTATTATAATGATGTGATCCTATACAATCACATGGCATCACATATGATTAGTTGGGACTTGTTGCAGGCTTAGCGGATATGTTGAAGAACGAACGGAGCAGTTTTGCAGTTGAGGATGATGGACGAATTTTATCTATTTAAATCTATGTTTATTTTGGGCAAAACTTGTCCATTTTCAGTATGTAAATCGCGGTACTCCAAAGTAGTATTTAAGTGAACTTATTACTTTAGTGCTTCTTGCCTGCAAATCCCTTAGATCTTTGCTGTGGAAGAATGTTAGTTTGAAATTTAAAACTTCTATTTTGATGGCCTTTATGATTTTATTGCACAATTTTAGATTGAGGGATTCATTAGTTAAACCGTTTTAATTGCTTTTTTGCTTGCATTTACACTCGTCTTGTTTGTTATTGAGCCTTTTGCATTTGCGAATATTGGTTAGTAACTGGATTCTTTCATTAATATATGAATTGATAATTATGACATGGAACTCTAGTTGATGTTAAGAATAGGACAGGATGAAGATTAGATCTTTGCCGTGGAAGAATGTTAGTTTGAAATTTAAAACTTCTATGTGATGGCCTTTATGATTTTATTGCACAATTTTAGATTGAGGGATTCATTAGTTAAACCCTTTTAATTGCTTTTTTGCTTGCATTTACACTCGTCTTGTTATTGAGCCTTTTGCATTTGCGAAGATTGGTTAGTAACTGCATTCTTTCATTAATATATGAATTGATAATTATGACATGGAACTCTAGTTGATGTTAAGAATAGGACAGGATAAAGATCAGTGCAGGGCTAAAAAAATATTCCTTCTCTTTTATTAGTACCATAACTTGTCTCTTAGGTCCAGATACATCCATCAGTTTTTGATCGGCCGTCGTGTATTGGAAACCAGATTTTAGGCCTTCGTCTTGCCCTGTTATTAGGATTATTGCCCTGTTACCCAATTGACATCGAAGTATATAAAATCTCGACGTTGTTCTCTGGTTCCAGCTTGACTCATTATCTGAGGCTGTACATCCAAATGCCTGCACTCATCAATGTCAATTTTCGGAACATAGAGAAAAAGATACTTCCACTTGGTGGACAGAATGGATGTCCTTGCTGAATCTTGTTTGGGCAAGAATGAGACCAAATGACAGAAAACGGCTTTAGGGAGAGAGCTGAGTCTATTTTCCTTTTGGGTTGCAGTCTTAGCTATCCTTTTAGGAGCTGAATTCATGGCTGTTTTCTTTTTCTTTTCCCCCCTTTTATGGGTAGGCTAACAAAAATAGTTTAATACGCAGAAACCTTTTGTTTCAGTTGGGTAGCGAGAGAGTATAATATGCTTTGCATATACAGATGCTATCAAAATGTCAACTCAGTGATCAGTGGCACTGTTGTTCGCCGTCTTTGGGTCTAGTTGAATAAAATTAATGATTGAATGCTTCTCCCTCTATCCCTTTGGTGGTCTTCAAACTGCGTGGAACAAAATAGTTGTCTTCAAGATTCTTGAATTTGTCACCTTCCGAATCTCGAAATTCTTTACTTAAAATCTTTGAAATTGTAGTTTGATTCTAGCAAATTCAGAGTAGCTGGAGACCTTTCCCCTGCTTAAGGAGTTGAGGCTGGATCGATCGAATCAATCACCCGAAAAATAACGAAGATGCAGCTGTCCGCAGAATATCCGTATAACCGCACTAAGAAGGACGTGCGATGGTCATTGACGTTAACAAGGAACCAGAGTGCATCTATATCGATACTCCCACGCCTTCAGCATCTTGAGTGTACTTGTTCAGAACTTTTGGGGCCGATGTTGCAAATAAATTTGGTTTAGTGTGATCCTCAGTAATTGTCCTATTTCAATTGGCATTTTTTGCCACACAATTTACTCTGTCAAATACTCAAGTTACAATGTCTAGGAAATTACCCTGTCAAGGACTTCCTAACTCAGTCGAAACTGTCACATGCCATTTCGAGTGCACCCTCCACTGTTGTTTATAAAGCACAAATTTAAATAACGTCTAGCTAAATTGTGTATTTGTAAGGTGCAAATTCATATGTACCTTACAGATATGATGGAAGGGAGCATACTCATAACTTAAACTGCAATTTAGTCTAATATACTCATAGGAATAGTTTGCTTCCCAAATGTATAGTAGTAGGGAGGGGATACCTTCTGCATTTCTTAAAATCTAGGAGTGATTATTTAAGAGTTAAAGGACAAACCTTCCCTTTCAGTTTGGTAGTATCACTAGTGATTCATTTGAGAATATATGCAGCGCTTAATTTAGCATTAGCAATAGCATTGATTAATTCAACCTCAAAAGGAACCACTGAAGACATAAAACTCAAACAACGGAAATTACATAAACTACATACGATCTAGTAATTTGATAAAAATAAAGGTCCAGGCACCAAACGCATGAACTCCAGGCTGTTTTTGCAACTGGATTGAAAGATATTGGGCCAAGGATTTAACTTCCAAGAAGTTCAACCTCACATTTTGGTGAACGCCGTCTGAGCTTCAGTAATGACTGCAATATAGACACCGGACATTTTTCCACTAGATGGCTTGCAAGCACTATAATCATCCTCTTGAGAGCTGCTGCGTGCTCCAAAAAGTATCTAACCACTGCAAAGTCATCTTCATCCCCTTCGAATCCTCTTATTCTGATTTCTCTAAGATTTTCAGTAAAACATGGTGGCCCACTTTCTGGGGGAGCTGAAACAATCATACCACCCTGCACAAACAAAGGAGAACAGGGGCAAAAATCTTCAAAAGTTTCAAAAAAATGAAGATACAAAGGAACCATTACTTTATCCAAAATGGAAGCATACCATGACACAATCAAGCTCTTCTAGAATTGGTGAACGTTGAAGTAGAATCCACATTGAGTCTTCACTTGGAGTCAACTGTAAATGGATCAGATTTGGAAATGTAGGCAACAAATCGCCACACCGGCCTAAATCCTAGACAACAAATGGAAGAGTAGTTATTAGTATGCACGGCCACTGTTGGACTGCAGGCATCACCAAGAAAAAAAAAATACAGAAATAAGTACAAGCCAATTCTTTGAGTTTTACCTTTAGGAACAAAGCCGATAGGTGGAGATATTTGATTTTGTTGAAGTCGCATAAAAGTTTAAGAAACCAATGACTTTCACAGAGAAGAGAGCGTTCAAATTTGGCCGATACCAGAAATTCACAGCTGACCAAATTTAACTGGATGACACGCCTACTATCATCTTGAAGACTACACTCAATATGTTGAAGATTAGGCGTATCAATATCAACCCGGACTGGTTCCATACAATATCCAACAGTTAGAGCTATCCTTTTCAGCGTTGCAACCAATATTCCAAGGACAGCATTCTCAGGAAACCTGATATATATCAACTTTAAATCCTCAAGCAGGGGATATCCTTGAGAGAATTTGAAATGGCTACACTCAGACTGAACAGATAAATATTTCAAGTGGAGTACCTTGAGTTGAGGAAGGCAGACAAATTCGGGAATCTTCAACACAATGTTCATTCCACCTAGTTTCAAGACTTGTATAGTTTTGGACACGAAAAGCTCGTTGGGTGGGCACAGAGAAGGACAACCGGCTTCATCCCACAAATCAATATCAAGAATATGGATATTACGCAAGAGTAAAGTTGTAAGCCACAAATTGCTCTTAGAAGGCTCAGGTACCACATCGCATATCAATCGAAACTCTGTTATGGAGGATGTCCTGCCCAACATAAGCCTCCTATTAACAAAATTAAAGAAATCCTTACTCCTTTCAGGCCGTATAAGCTGATACGTCCCCTGAAGATCAATTCTTGGAACACCCAGAAAAAGGTACTTCCACATTTTGGACAGAATGGATGTCCTTGCTGCATATTTTGTGGGCATGAAGGAGAGAATGTGACAGATGACGGAGCTCGGAAGATTGCTGAGCCTATCTTCTTCTTCTTCCTTTGCAATTGTAGCTATCTTAGGAGCTGAATCCATGGCTGGTTTGAAGGTCGATTGAGAGTGGGTTTGGTAAGCTACTTAGAGATCATTCTGTAATCTTGCAAAACTTTCTGATCGATGAAGATTCCACTCGAATATTTCTTTAGGTAAAAAGGAAATTGGGGAAAATTGAGGGCTGAAATTTGTGTGGGAAATGAAATAATCGGCAAGTACGTCATTTTGGAATTGGCTACTGGAGAAGGATGTTAGCCAGCCTTGTTTATTTTCTTTTTTTTTTTTTTGCAATCTTCAAAATAGGCTTAGCCTTAATGATGACGGCTTGTTTTCCGGCACCTCACCCCTGCCGAAAACATGTTAATGTCGGTGATCTTATCGTTTGATTCCTGGGAGACCAAAGACTAGAACTTCTTCACGATTCCACTATGGAACTTGTTGTGAAGCTTATGGATTTAATTTTATTTGGTCTACAATCACTTATTATCTAATAATTAACCGGTCAATAATTTAATACAGGTTTATTACGGTGTTGTGCACCCCATAATTACATAGATTTACGGTGGTGTGTTCTACTTTTATTGGATAGATTTTTACTGAATAGTTCAGTCAAAAACTTGTGACTGAACCATAGAATTTTTCAAAAGAGTGTTATCTTTCTATTGTGATTCTCAACTTTTCATCAAAGAATTCGGACCGAAGCCCATCGGAGTTTTTGTTCTTGTTGTTTTTCTTTTCTTTTAGAATGCAGTGGCAATAGCCAATAATTTAATGTACTACTTCCTGAATTAAATCAACATTAGTTCGATTCAATATTTAATAAATTTGATATATAACTGCACTCGTTATTTAATTTCTGCAACCCTTCAACCGCTCACCATTGACTCCAACCTTCTCGTGGTGATGTTAATTATATAATTTTTTCTCTCTATCCACTTCATTCATTAGTGAGAAAAGTTATGATTAGCAGAATTCTCTTTATCTTTTCAATTTTTTGTAATTTAATTCATCCCATTTAGTCAAAGCACAATTAATCCAAGCTCACTAATAAGAGACCAAGAATTTTCACTGTTTTTCTTTTAGTAAAAAAAGTTAGAAATCGTACATGTCCATCTCAAGTTGGTATGATTTGAATATGGTCTGTGATTCCAAATATAGGTTGTAATTTCCAATGGTGTTTTATAGTTCGGGAAAATTCTAGGGTCCCATTCATAATTTTGAGGATATGGTTCCGTTATAATTTAATCAATAATATATTGACACATCAACATATCACTAAATTTACTTAATGTTTAAATTTTTTTATGACTTGTTAAGCAGGTAACTTACGATAACAGCAGGTAAACTTACCAAAATTTAAAAATATGAATAATTTAGGAAAGTTTTGACATTTAAAATAACCAAATGACCATCAATTAATAATTAAATTTCTTTATTTGATTCTATTGCATGTGAAAGAAAAACACATTGGACATTCACATTCAAATAATTGGACTATACCAAAACTTACCATAATTCGTAATTAATTTTCCTTATTTTATATTTGTGTTGTACCAAAATATAGGTGCAATTCCATATAACTCGTTAAAAATGCACTTCTATTGATACATGATGGCACATTAATTTAATAAACATTGCAACATCTCTTATATAAGTTGCTTTTTATAATTTAAATTTTTTAAACAACGTTGTTCAGAAAACTTTACAATTTTGCTTTGAGAGATTATTTTCGCATTACATAGAATACCAGAATTTTATGTACCACTTTTGTTTTGATTTCTTTAGCATAATAATTCACTTCGCATTAAAGAAAAATATATTGCTCTTTCACTCGTTGCAACATGAAAAAAAATTTGGCCATTCACCTATACTGTATAAATCGTTAATATTTTTCAAGCAAATTGGTCATTATAATACAAAATGCCTACTAGCAAGGTGCAATAGCACTGCAAGCCATTTAACTCAAACTGGAGACTTAGGCAATGAATGTTTGGATATTTATCAAAATTTTCATGTTTGTCAAAATTCAAACAGGTTGCTACGTATATTTCATGTTTTTCACGGGTATATGCAAACGTAACCACGGTTGGGAAAGTAGATTTCGATTAATGGGCAAACTATAATAGATGGATTCTTCAAAATTTCATCATCAATTTTCATCTCACTCGAATGCTTAGGGCATAAACAAAAAAAAAAAAAAGGTGAAAAATAGTGAAAAAAAGACCTTGAACAATTAAAATTGTAGCAAATTAAAAAGCTTATCATTTGACCAAAAAAAAGCCAACCAAAAATGGGAAAACCGTCCCAGGCTTTGAACAATAAGAGGGAGAGAGAGGAGATGAAAAAAAAGTATGTTTAACGTTGATGGAGGAGAAGAAGACTCCAATTAAAATCTATACCATAATTAAGTTTAAACTTTAACCGATTGCATGTATGATTTTTTTGAACTAGTTTTTTTCATTTAATACAAATTCTATGGTTGTGATTAATTTAGACAAATCTAACCGTTGTTAATTAAATAACGGGACCATACCCTGAAAATTGACAACGGGAACTAGAAATTGAATAGGGTCTACATTATCAAACTTTCCAATGCAGTGACCCTATCCAAACTTTTCAAGTAAGTTTGTGATGAATTTGACGAGTTTTTTTTCGCGTCATTAGTTTGTAACCATTATAATCTCTCTTTTTTTTTGTTTTAGTGTTCAATAAATATGATCAGATTTTAAATAAATACGACAACCATACAACCACCTCCATCCTATACCGTTAAAGCCATTATAACTCCAAGTTGTAGGTGATGTGTTCTATAAAGTCCATATATTCAGAACACTCAAGTTAAACCCAATTCTTCCTAACTTTATACATAAATCCTTCAACTCATATAGTAATTCTTTACAAATTCCAAACCCTAGTCTACTGCTTGACAGTGTTTATACAGATTAAATAAAACTAGCAACATCTGAATCTGTCTTCAGGGACGTTATTTTTGGGGCATGATGAGATGAGCCCCGTAACTTTGTTATATTTGGAGGATGCATGTCCATTGCTTAAGCTCTCTAGAGTTTCTAACTATATTCATATCAGCATTCATGCACAAGAAGCTTCCCTACTTGTTTTTTGGGGTATCTTCTATGAAGAGTGGAGCACCAGTATAACGTGAATGCGAAAATTTACTATGATGACATCCCTACTTGTCTACCTTACAGGCAGGACTCCTTGCTGCTGCAGACCTCATGGAGGTACATGCTAATCCTTGTCAAGGTGAAGGTCATGGAATTCAATAGTCGTAATAGATAATTGGTCAAGGAAGAGCTACTACTATTTAATTTTCTTGTCCTCCTTTGTAATTAGTTTATACTGATATAATTATTTGTTTGGTCACTTGAAGAAGTAAATTTATTTTTGGATTGGTCATTTCATGAACGATTTTACTCCTTTTTTTTTTTCCTTGCAAGTCTTAACTCCACCGGATGGTAAATACACAGGGCAATGGAACTTTGCAATACACTTCCCAGAATATGTATATGTCACTTTTCATTTTTATTTGACCAATATAAAATATACTTCCTCCGTCTCACAAAAAAACAAAGTCCAGTTTAATAAAAAATCTTGTCCCAAAAAAATAGTCCAGTTTCACAAAAGTTAAAATTAATTGAATTGAAATGACTTGAATATCCAAAAGAGTAGTGGTAAGGAAAACAAGGTCCTATTCCTTTGATTTTTATTTTTTTTTTAGTTTTCTCTCATTTTTTCAAATGATTATATCTTTTAAAACATGAATAATTAAAAAATATGTTATATATCAATTAATCTACGTAACGAAATCTTTCCATCAATATCCATTGTCAATATTTTTGATCAAATTTAAGTTGTAAAATAAATGCATATGTAGTTAATTTTTATAGAAATAACTAGAAGGGACATTAGTGGAAGTTAGAGGCATAAAATGAGTTGTACATTTGGTGTGTTGACCAAATTAAAAAAGTTATACATTTTCAAACTAGACTATTTTTTTTTGGGGCGGAGGGAGTAACTAATTAGAACTTACAACGGGAAAACAAAAAGTTCAAGATATAGGCTCTGTTTCGTTGCATTGAATTGGGACCAAGAATTGGAATTGGAGCTCTTTAAAACCAATTCTTGTGTTTGGTTGGTAAAAATAGAGGTCCAAGAATTAGAATTATAATTCAAGATGGGGCTCAATTCTTTATTTTCAATTCTTTTGTGGGAGCAAATAATTGGAATCCAAATTCAATGACTTAAAAAAATTACGCGGGTCTTAACCGGGTCGTTTCCGGGTTATAACCTAAACGGATCACCCTCTCAATTTTTGTCTTTTGGCCTTTTTTTTTATATATATTTTTTATTTTAATTTTATTTTTTTTAGCTTTTTTCTTTTTCTTTTTTTGCTTTCATCGCTTTTTTATTTTCTTTGTTTTTCTTTTTTTTGGGGCTGTTTGTCTCATTATTATTATTATTATTATTATTATTATTATTATTATTATTATTATTATTACTATTATTATTGTCATATATATCTCATTTTAATAATTATCAACTAAATCAATCTATAATTAACATTGTATCTTTTTTACAAACCCCCAAAAAAATTAATAACTAAATATTTTAGTTTTGGTTAAATTTTTATTATATTATGACATAGTAAACAACATAACATTTTCAATTTTTTTTATAAAAATTGTTCCATGTATACACCTATATTATAATACATATATTAAACTATTGATGGCATCTTTTCACCAAAAATTATGTAAGTTGAGTTTTAAGTATCTATTATTTCATAGGAAAATGATATATTTAGTGAGAAAAAATAGTGGAAAAAGATAGTGAGTGATGTGACTTATTCTTGGCCCCTAGCTTTTTGCCACTTTCCCGTTAAAATTTTTTCTTTCCCTAAAGAATTATATTTTTACCCTTTATTAATAAATACACATATTTAGTGAGGATGGTGTATTTGTCTTTTCATTAATCACTATAATTTTTCACTGTAATTAGTCACTATCTCTATCATTGCTCTATTTCATATATAATTATATATTAGAGTAAAAACATTTAATCATATATTATATACTAATGTTAATCTATATATAAATGAACCTCAATATTCATAAACTGAATTTATAATATTATTTAATAATTTTTTTAAAATTTTTTTGATATAAATCAAAACATAAAAAATTAAAAATTTTGAAAAATAATAAAAGAGAGGAAAACAAGGATGGTTTACGTGTTACTTGTTTGTGTATTAAGTGAGAATTTTA